TGATGTTGGGCAAAATCCTCGGTCGCGGATGGTCCATAGCAGGGGGGACGGGACCTTGCACGCGCTCACTTCCAAGACGGGCGCGCTGGTTGACCAAGGCGGCAACACGTTCGGCGGCGACCGCCCTGCCAAGCTGATCACCCCTCAGGAGATGCTGACGGCGATGGGGTACCCCATCTGCGAGACTGTCCAGGCTGCCTGCGGGGTGAGGTGCCAGTTCAGCCGCGGGGTCCCGCCGACTGCTGGCAGGACCACCGGGTAGCTTGAATGGCTCGTGCGAGGGGCGATGAGATGAAGAGAAGGGGCAGGGGGGGAAATGGCAAATCGGAGCCAGGACATGGAAGGTGGCACGGGGGGTCGGGCTTCGAACAAACCAAGACAAGAGGAGAGGCAGACGAGGGGAGGAGGAAGGAGGAGGAGGATGGTGACGAGGAGGAGGAGGGAGGAGGAGGAGAAGGAGGAGGAGGAGGAGGAGGAGGAGGTGAGGAGAGGAGAGGAGAGGAGAGGAGAGGAGAGGAGAGGAGAGGAGAGGAGGGATGAGGAGGATGGGGGATCCCGGGGAGGTAGGTGGAGGAGGGAGAAGGATGCAGGCGAGTCGAGCGGCGGCCAAATAATGACAAGGCGTGGCGACGACGGACGGCAGCAGCGACGATCAGCGGCGACGGCGACAGCGGCGGCGGCCGCCCGGTCTCAGTTCTCTTCCTCCCTCCATCCCCCCTCCGCCCAGGACGAGGGCATCATTGGTGAAGCAGGTTGGCAACGCGTACCACGTCAATTCGATGGGCGCCATCCTTGCGGCTGGCATCGTTGCTTTCCCGAACTTGGGGCGCGGCCCGCCCTCTGGCCCTCCGCTGCCCGCTCCAGCAGCGCCAGTGGCGCCGCCTGTGCGGCGCGGTCGGTCGGCGTCGGCGACTTCTGCAGCTTCGGGGTCGGCTGACATCCGCTCCTTCTTGGCGGCAGCGCGGCCGCCCAGCCCCGGGAGCCCTGTTGCGCGGCCGTCGCCCCCTGGGCCTGCCGAGGAGCCTGCGGCTGCAAGTGAATGCGCTGCCCCTGTTACTCCATCGCCGCGCCTCCGCTGTGGTAGCCCGACCCTTTCTGCAGCAACTCTCAGCATGCGCCACAAGAAGCGCAGTCGGAGTCTGTCTGCCAGTTTGGAGCCGACTTTGGCCATGACGAGCCCAGAGCTTCCGCCGCCGTCACGTCCGCCAAGCCCGCCAGGCGCGATCGCGCCCAGCGGAGCTGGCGAACTTGTGGCCGTCGCGGCGAAGTCGCTGTCGCCAGGGCGTGGCCCCGTCAGCGACTGCAGTTCTGATGGGCCGAGCTCGCCTATGGGGCCCCCTCTGGGGCCTAAGGCTGTGAGCCCTGCTGCGTCTGCATCTTCTGCTGCGTCGCCATCGGCGGCAGGCGGCAGTCTAGGCAGCAGCGTTGCAGCGTCTGTGAGCAGTCGCGCCGATGGCACGATTGTCGCGAGGGCTGCCGTTGCCACCGCCGATGGTGCAGGGGCGAGGTTGCAAATTGCGCTCAATCACACGGCTCTCAATGCAGTTGCGATTTCCGTCGACGCTCAGGCGCGCGCTGCAAAGAAGAGCCGCTTTGCCAGTGCGTTCGCAGGCTAGGGCAGGCAAGGCATCCGAAGCGCAGCTAGTTTTCATGCGTCGCAGAGGGGGGGGGGGAGGGGGGGGAGGGGGGGAGGGAGGAGGAAAGAGAGCGAGAGAGAGGAGAGAGAGAGAGAGAGAGAGAGAGAGAGAGAGAGAGAGAGAGAGAGAGAGAGAGAGAGAGAGAGAGAGAGAGAGAGAGAGAGAGAGAGAGAGAGAGAGAGAGAGAGAGAGAGAGAGAGAGAGAGAGAGAGAGAGAGAGAGAGAGAGAGAGAGAGAGAGAGAGAGAGAGAGAGAGAGAGAGAGAGAGAGAGAGAGAGAGAGGAGAGAGAGAGAGAGAGAGAGAGAGAGAGGAGAGGAGAGAGAGAGAGAGCGAGAGAGAGAGAGAGAAGAGAGAGAGAGAGAGAGAGAATGAGAGAGAGAGAGAGAGAGAGATATAAAAACAAGAAAAAAAGAAAGAGAGAGAGCGAGAAAACAAACAAGGGAGAGAGACAGAGAGAGAGAGAGAGAGAACAAACAAAAGGGGGAGAGAGAGAGAGAGAGAGAGAGAGAGAGAGAGAGAGAGAGAGAGAGAGAGCAAACGATAGAGAGAGGGGGGAGAGAGATGGGAGGGGGAAAGAAAGAGAGTGGGAGCGTGACGCACTTCTGCCGACCGCACACGCAGGCTACTAGAGCATAGAGTCTCTACTAAGCTAGGTTTGAAAGTTTGACAGCTTCCAAGGGCAATCAGTCGGGTGGCAGGTGACCGACTCGCCCAGCAAGGCCCTGACATCAGCATTTTTGTCACCGCTGTGCGAGGGCACCAGACACCAGCGACGTTCGCATTTGGGTTCGCAAGGTCGCTGTGCTGCAACAGCCTCCGCCAGCCACGCCGATGAGTCAGGATAAGGCCCTAGGGGCCCTAGACTCTATGACAAGAGCAGCAGGCAGACCATCATCGATATCTCGCATCACCATTCCTCTCGCATGGCATCATCACCATCTCGTTTGTTATCCTCATCATCCACACCTGCCCCTCCCCGTCCAACCCCGCGCCCACCCCCTCTGGCTGATCGGCGTTTCGGCGCGCCCCGGGGGGTCCAGGAGTCCAGGGCCGCCGCGGCCGTTGGGCGCCAAGAGCATGCCCCAGCAGGCCCCCAGCCCAGCCCCGAGCGCCAGCGGCGCCAGCAAGCTGCCCGCCTTGGTCCGGGGGGCGTTGGACCGGCGTTGGACCCTAAGCCTCCCCTCCAACTCCCGGGCCCTTCCCTTTCCTAACTAGCCTAAGCCTAACTCCTCATGCTTCTCTCCGTGCTTGTCGCCCTCGCTATCCTCCCACTGTGCACTGCAGCACTGCATCCCTCTCCCTTTCTCCCTCCCTCCTCTCCTCCCCTTCCCTTCCCTGCCCTTGTCTCCTGTCTCGCCAGAGGGGCCGTGGCGAATCGCGACTTGCAGACTTGGCGACTTGGCATTCGGGGCTTCTTGGCTCCTTGGGCCTTGGGGGCCTGACAATGCCTGACCTGGGCTCCTTGGGGCCTTTGCCGTAGCCGTTTTGGTTTCAGTCCGCAAGCTTGCCTGCAAGGAAAGCAACCGCCCTGGCCACCTGAACCAGAGCTCGCCCCGCTCCGGACTCCACCATGCCAGCTGCACTATCGACGATGCGGCCAACCTCGCGCACTTCGGCCCCTGTCGTTTCGCCGTGGGACCCAAACGTTGTACATGTAGCCTTTCGGTTAGCACCGCCGCCCCATTGCGCAGGACGTCGTCCCTGGGTCGTCCCTGCCCTACCCCTACCCCTACCCTACCCTACCCTATGGAATCCATAGGGCCATAGGGTAGGGGGGGTCTATGATCCTGGACCCCTGCCCTACCCCTCCCCATAGGCTATGGGCTATGGAGAGGGGGTAGGGGCGTGGTGGCATGCGTGGGTGGGAAGGTGGGAAGCATCACATAGACCTCTGGCACGCTCGCATTGTCTGAAGGGATGGCGGACATCGATATTCGAGAGGTTCCCTGGCGCAACTGGGGTCGTCCTTCAACTCATGGCCAGGAACCAGTACGTCATGGAGAGAAACGTATCTGCCCCTTTCTTCAAAGGCAAGGACAGGAAGGAGAAGACCTTCATCCGACACCCTTCCAACAATCGTTGCCACGCTGTCACTCGCGAGAATTACAAGCAGAGCGTCTTACAGCAGGGACTGGTGCAGGGCATCATGGGAGAGGTGCTGGCCGTGCCAACGTCTTTCAATGAGAACCGCGCATATATGTTGATGAGCTGCGCAACTCGCATCGAAGCTGTGCACTTGGCCTACGAGGCTGATCCGGAGAACCTGCAGGTCATCAAGACGTTGGAGGCTGGAATCAGCGGCATCACTGTCCTGGACCCCAGGTCGACCGAGGATGTTTTACGATACTTCAAGGACCCCCCTGGGATTCCTACATAAGTCTAGGCTCGCGGCTCCGATCGATCGATCGATGTGCGAGACCTATCGCCTATCGATCCGATCGCCGCGAGATCGGTTCGGGATCCGAGATCAATTCGAGTCGATCTGTCACTGCTTCCCCGAGCGAGATCGATTCGCACGAACGATCGATTCGAGATCGATCTGCCAATCTGTCTTCAGATGTAATCCGATTCCGAGCCGCAGGACTTGAACAACAGCTTCAACAAAATTGGTTCTGATTTATCTTTTCTGGAAATGTATGGATATGCGCCTATCATCGTGGCCAATTTCAAGAGAGCCAAGGGGGGGGCTGGCTGCAACGACGGCGAGGACGACGACGAGGCAGCGGAGGAGGTGGCCGCTCAGACCGCGAACTCGGAGTGGAGTTCTTTCGTTGAGAAGCACCACTCAGATGTTTTCAGTAAGTACTTCTACTTCTGCCAAGCCCGGAGAGCGTACAAAAAACTTAACGATTTTGGTGCTGACGGATCCCCTGTTCTGTGGGAGAAATACGAGCGGTACTGCAACGAGCACTGCGACTTCGGCCACAAGAGCATCGACCACAACTTGATCCTTGCCTGCAACGATGCCATCACCAACAAACTGAAAATGTACCTGACAGATCCTGAGATGCAGGATTACGTCTTGCTGGCTCTGGGCTTCGCAATTGACAACCCACCGCCCAATTAGGGGCGAGGGGGGAGGGGGAGAAGAAGAGAACAGGAGGGGGGGATGGAGGAGAGAGGAGGAGGAGGAGGAGGAGGAGACAGGAGGAGGAGGAGGAGACAGGAGGATGAGGAGAGGAGGAGGAGGAGGAGGAGGAGGAGGCGGAGGAGGAGGAGGAGGGGGGAGGAGAATGAGGAGGAGGAGGAGCGAGTATCGGATGGAATGGAAAATGAGGAACGAAGGAGAGGGAAGACAGAGGAGGGTTGGTGAAGGATGGATGTGAAGGATAGTGGAGGGTGATTGTGCATGAGTCGCCGAGGCTCTTGCGATGGCCATCCCGTCGGACGACGACGTTCCCTGGATCTTCACGAACCGCTCGTCTTTGACTAAGTTGAAGAACCTCCTGGTGAGCATGAAGGAGTCTAAGGTCTTTCAGCTGTCGAAGGCGCCGCCGCAGAAGGGAGAGGCCCCCAGCGTCTCCGCGCCACCCCAGAAGAAAGCTCGCAGGGGCAAGAAGGCTGGCGGTGGCGCCGAGGTGCCTGAGGTCGTTGACGGACAAACCGTATTTTTGCAGGACGTGCACAACGCTGTCTCCTACACTCTCCAGGGCGTATCAGAGAAGGACATCGACGCCGGTGTCGTGTGGGAGGTCAAGGCGAAGGCCGTGGCTTTTGGATTGACGGGCAAGGTGGAGATGGAGAAGGACTCCGCTTCTTCAGCTACCTCAGGCACCTCCGCTACTACTACTACTACTGTATCTTCTTGGAACACGCTCCGCAAGATGCTCAAGAAGAAGCTCGTGAAGGCCCACCTCCTTGCCGACCGCGCGCACGTCCAGGCGGACCCCGACGGGGTCGCAGCCGCGGACAGCCTGGAGACGGCGGACTCCCTCGGGTCGGGGTCGGCGGCCATCGCGTCTGCGCCGGAGGAGGACATGCCGACTGGTCTGGGGCCCGTTGCCACCGTCAAGAGGATGCTGACGATTGATCGCAAGCTGGGCGCCAGGCTCAAGGCATTCGCAACCGCGGTCAGCGGGAGTTCGGGCCAGGGCGCGACGGCGTTCAAGAGGACTCATTCGGGCTTGGCGACTGCTTGCACTGCACTGTGGAACGGGGTCTCTGCTCACATGACAGAGGTTTCCTTCGCTGGTAACGTCTGCGCCTACATCGTCGAGATCATCGACGAATCTGTGATGCAGACCGCCATCGAGAGGGAGTTCGTGGAGGTCGCCGCTCTCCTCTACAAGGCTCGCGGCGAGGAGCACGCTGCCGAGCTTTCTCTCGACGCAGAGGCGGGGGGTCAGCAATGCTCGACCACCGATGCGCGTATCCGCCCAGCCCTGATCGCTTGGCGGACGCGCGCTTGGTCGGTCGAGCATTGCACGCGCCCCCCCAGGTTACCGAGCTGAACAATCTTTGGCCGACGTCCGGGGACAGCCAGGACATCATGGCTATCGAGGAGTTCCTTTGCATGAGGTCAATCTACATGGTGATCCTATTGGATGAAGCGTCCATCTGTTTGAAAGAGGCCGTGAAAAGGATGCAGACCGCGACGGAGCCCGACCTTGAGAAGATCGGCCGCATTCTGGCAGCGTGCCCCATGCTCGAGAACGGTCTCAAGTTCATTTCTGAGAACGAGGAGGAGGTGGCAGCTGCAGACGCGAAGTGCCACAATAGGGTCCGCTGGTGCGATCTCTGGCAGCGGATCTGCAGCAAGTCCGACATGACTGAGATCGACGGTAATTACAAGGCGCTCGCCGATGCAAAGGGCGACGCTGCAGCTCTGCAGATGCTCGGCGCTGACCTCGCCATCGAGCTTGACGACGCCGAGGCCGACGCCGAGAAGCTCTTTCAGGCGGTCGAGGCCAGGTTGAAGCAGAAGAAGTCCGACATGGTCAAGGATATCCTTTCCGTCGCGGGGGCCGCCACGGAGACGGACCCCGCTTTGTCCGACATTGCTGCTGCGGTTGATGAGGCGATGAACGCGGGCACCCAGGTGAAGGAGTCCAGCTTCAAGCCTGCGCTGGTCCATGCCGCCAGCGCCGCAGCCGCCGCGTGGGAGTCCTTCGAGTTCGCGACCAAGGCGACCCTCGAGCTCACCCGGGCGTGGCGCTTGGAGAAGTTGCTCGGCGACGCTTGCACGGACTTGCTGCTGGTGAAGCTGGCGAAGGAGAACAGGAACCAGGTCTCCGCGGCCTCGGCCGCCGCCCAGGGGAAGCAGCGCCTCTTCGTCAATGTCAGCGACCCTCGCATCATGAACATGAAACTCGCCCTCGTGGGCAAGATCTCGCTGACCACGGTCGCCTTCACTGTGAAGACCGTTGACGCGTACATTGCGGGCAAGATCGGCGGCTCCTTCATCTGCGTGACTCCGACCGCAGGACGGTGGCATGGCGATGAACGGCGGAGGCGGGAAGGAGGAGAAAGGATGAGGAGTGGGGAGGAGTGAGGAGGAGTGGGAGGAGGAGATAGGAGGAGGAGGAGGAAGGAGGAGTGAGGAGGAGTGGGAGGAGGAGAAAGGAGGAGCTGAGGAGGAGGAAGGAGGAGAGGAGGAGAGCGGGGAGCAGGAGGTCTCAGGAAGATGAGAGGACAAGAGGGGGGGGTCAGGGAGGAACCACCCTGGGCCCTCTTTTCTCCAGTTCCCAGTTCCCCCAACTCTCCTATCCTATAGCCTATCCTCTTCCACGTCATCCATCCTCCTCGTCCTCCTCCTCCTCCTCCTCCTCCTCCTTCTCCTCCTCCTCCTCCTCCTCCTCTCCATCCCCTCGTCGCTCCTAATCCCTCCTCGCTTCCTCATTTTACATCTTCTCCGCCTCTCCTCCCCCTAGGAGTCCTCCTCGTCCTACTCGTCCTTCAGTCTTTGAGGAATGATTGGCAAGGACAGCTGCACGTTCGTCCCGGGGTGGTGCGCCAGGCCAGTGGCGAACGGCGTGGTGCCGCTCATGCTGGTCACCAACGCCCCCGTCGAAATCGCTGGGAGGCGCGTCGAGGTCAAATGTCTGACGCCGAACGCCGCCTTCTTCCCAGCTCACGCCGCCAAGGTCGAGGCCGCCCGGAAGACCGCCCAGGATAAGCTCGACAAGGCGAACGCCAAGGCCGTCGCCAAGGGCCTCGCCGTCGAGACAACGGTCGCCGACGTCTCATATCTCAACTACGTCGAGCTCACCAGGGAGCCGCTCCCAGCAGAGCAGCTGGCAGCGGTGGAGAGGAAACCCAAAGATGACCCGAGCGTGAAACACATCCTTCGGTGAATGAGCCAACACGCCAACACAGTAGGAGACCCTGCGAGCGATGGGGAGGTGCCAAGAAAAGAAACAGAGGATGAGGATGAGAGGAGGAGGGGGAGAAAGGGATTCGGGTCAGCTGCGAGCGTGCGAGCGGGGGCGTTCCCGCGCTGGACCGTTTTTGTATATACTAGCGGCACTAGCGGTGCTGGGCGTGTTGAGCCACATGTTTATTCAAAATGTGGTTCGCGAGACCTGGAGTCTCGCTGAAGTCCGAATTTGATTCGATGAAATGTATGCCACTGTCCTGGCTTTTGATTTTGACGCCTGTTCGCCCTGTTCGCCACCGCTCGCTGCGGACGCGTGCCGTGCCTGCGTTCTGTTTGGAGGCTTTTGTTAGGATGATTTTCACTAGTGAAAGCGGCTGGGGCCCGGCTGGGGATGCCGCCCACCCCGCGTCGCTTGTGGTTTGAGCGACCGTCGAAGCCTTCGGATCCAGGCAGTGCACTGTGTACACTACCCACCCACCGTTGCTGCGCAGAAAATCTCCTCCTCTTCCTCCTCCTGCTCCTCCTCCTTCGCCGGGGTGCCTTCCTCGCCGCCGCCGGGGCGCTGCGGCTGCCGCTCAGCCCAGCGGGCCCAGCGGCATCGCGGCCCCCCGCCAGGGGACGGGGGCGAGGAGAGGAGGGGCTCCTGGGGAGGAGGGGGGGGAGAGGGAAAACATGAGCGAGGGTAGTAGGAGATTTGGAAGTCGAGGAGAGAGGGGGAGAGAGAGAGAGAGAGAGATATAAGAAGAGAGAGAGAGAGAGAGAGAGAGAGAGAGAGAGAGAGAGAGAGAGAGAGAGAGAGAGAGAGAGAGAGAGAGAGAGAGAGAGAGAGAGAGAGAGAGAGAGAGAGAGAGAGAGAGAGAGAGAGAGAGAGAGAGAGAGAGAGAGAGAGAGAGAGAGAGAGAGAGAGAGAGAGAGAGAGAGAGAGAGAGAGAGAGAGAGAGAGAGAGAGAGAGAGAGAGAGAGAGAGAGAGAGAGAGAGAGAGAGAGAGAGAGAGAGAGAGAGAGAGATAGAGATAGAGAGAGATAGAAAAAAACAGAGAGAGAGAGAGAGAGAGAGAGAGAGAGAGACATAAAGAGAGAGAGAGAGAGAGAGAGAGAGAGAGAGAGAGAGATAGGGAAAGCAGGAATAGAGATAGGAAAGGCAGGAAAAAAGAGAGAGAGAGAGAGAGCGAAGGGATGGAGGAGGATGAGAGGAGTCAGGAGGAGGAGGATGAGGAGTCAGAACGCGCGAGGGCTTCTGAGAAGTCCCGCCGCCTTCTGAGAAGGCCTTCTCCTTCTCAATTCCACCCCCCCTCGCTCGCCGCCGAAAGGAGGGGGGGGCGACGCCGTGGGCAGAGAAGGACGAGGGGGGGAACTGCTGACGGTCCATTCGAAGGAAACGTTATCGTCTCCCCTCCTCCTCCTCCTCCTCCTCCTCCTCCTCCTCCTGCTTCTTCTTCTTCTCCTTCTTGCTCCCCTTGCCCCTCTTGCCAGTGCTCCTGCGGCTGCTCCTTCGTGTCCTGTCCTCCTGTCCTTCTCCTTCCTGCCACCCCCCTCTCTCGAGGACTCCTCTCCCTCGTCCCCGGGGCCCGCCTGGACCAGCCGCCCAGAGCTGGCTGGTGCCCGTCCCGAGCCGCGACGGTTGCAGCGGGCACTGCCGCCGTCGTCTCCGTGGCTGGGCATGCCGCCGCCGCCGTCGTCGTCGTCGGCTATCGGTCGCGTCGGCCAGTCTTGCCGCCCTCCTGGCCTCCTGACTCAACTTTCCTTCCTCCTCATTTACAAAGCGCTGTCATCAAATTGCTTCGCATTTATAATCAGATATGTGTTTTTCTGGGCAGCCATTGATCTCCCTTTGGGGGGCGGGGGTGTCAACCACCAAGTGGTCATTTAGAAGGTTATCAGTCGAGCACTACATCCACTGCTCCAGGGTCGCGGAGTTCGGGCGCAGGCAGCTGGCGCTGACTGCCCCTCCACCCGGCGAGCGCTTGTCTCACTTTCTGCTCCTCTCCCCCCGTTTTTCCGAAGACACGGCGAGCGCTATCGCTCGCCGTGCCCTGGCGGTGTATTGCGTTTACGCGGCATCCACAGCGGCGCGCCACGGGGCCGCCTCCAACGCGTGGGAGGCCATGTGGCAGTACGCTAGGGAAGCTTGTGCTGCGCATCCTCGCCTCGCATCGCTCGTGGCCGCAGTGTGGCAAAGCTGAGTTAGTTCCCCCCTCCTCGCCTCCGCTCCTCGTCGTTGTCGTCCGTGGTCGCTGCCCATCGCATTTCTTCCCGCGTGTAATGTACTGACTCGCCAATGAGCGCGACACCTTGGGAGCACGCCTTCTTCCGGTCAGCGGGGCGCCCAGACTCACGGGAGTCGGCTGGCGATGACCCTCAGGGCTTTGCTCATCAGTGCACTGCGCGAGTTAAGTGAGCCACATTTTGTTTGTGCCCGCAGCGGAGCGTTCACTGAATGTTTGCCCCTAGCTTTCGCCACTGCTTAGTAGTCGATTTACGGTAAAAAAAAGAAATGCCTCAGCATTGCATTGGTTGGTACTCGGCAAAAGAAAGATGCGTGTCAGGCGACCGGCGGGCATGATGCGCGGCGTGTCGCGAGCCTTGAGGCGTCTTGAGCAGCACCGCGCTCGCGCGCAGAGACCGGCGCGCCTCTGATAGGCGCGCGCGCTCGCGCCCGTCCGCATTCGCAAAAACAGCCTGCTCACGCGTCAATAAATGCATGCAGAGCGCGTGATCTTGGCCCGACAGTCATCGGGGCGACCATGTGCGACGGCCGCGGCCATTCAGGATGCATCGCGGGTTCGTTTCGGGGCCTTCAGGGGGCCCGCGCGTTGCCGACTGCTGATCTCATGCAGGCCCCTGACACCCAAGTTGAGAAGCCGTTCAAGTAGGCATATGCTAATGTAACAGCGCTGCGAGGATGTATCGAGCGAGTGTTACTTCTGCAAGACCTACTCCTGCAGATTTCCTACGCAAAGGTTCAGGGGCGGGAAGAAAGTGTTTTTCCTGGTTTTCTTCGCGATGAAGCCGTCGCCAGAAAACCGATGACGAGGACGGCGGTCGCGACGGCGTCACCGTCGTCGCCCTCGTCTTAGGCGTCGTCGTCGATGCGCCCCCCTACGTTCGGAGTAAGCCCACTCGCAGCAATGTCCTGCTCCTTGGTCGGGGTGAGCTCCTCGTAAAGGGTGTCGCATCACTTGCGCGCCATCTGCTCCCGAGGCGCGTGTCATCCAGGCTTTCCCGTCTCGCCGCTCCCATGTGGTTGATCTGTAGGGTGCGTCGCCCGTCCATGCGAGCGCCGCTCTCGCGCGCCCGCTCCGCTTTTTACTTGTGTCTTTTCGGCCCAGTCCCGCAGGAGTGGGACATTCATTGCGTGCATGCCACGGTGGGTCTGAGGACCATCGTCGGTTGCGCGACGTTTGAAGCAGGGTACTCGCGCGGATAGTTCACCACCAAGAGTTGCGGCATCACGCTCTTGATGTGGTCTTGTTTCGCTTTTGCGGGGTCAGAAAGTTCACGATGACACTGTTGCGGCGTGCTTCCTGCCGCGGAGGGCGCCATTATGAGGCCAGCGTCTCTATGCTCGCGCGCGGGACCACCCATGTAGATGGATTTCTGAGGCCATGCCGGTCATCAGCAAGCGAAGCGCGATACCATTCGTGATGGTGGGATTGAACGGGGTACTCCCGTATTCCCCAGGCGATTCGGTTGTTCAAACAGATGGCGGAGGAAAGGTGACAGGGCCCTCGGCGAGGTTCAGGCAATCTCTTGCTGGATGAAACTCGCTCGTGCTTCCGCGCATTGTGGATGCCGGCCAACCTACGTGACAGAAACTTGTAATTCATACGTCGACCACATATCGTTCCCTTGGATATTGTTCGCGCGACCAGGCGTGCTCGGGCTCCATCGTCGACGGCAGAGAACCCACGAAATATCGACCCGTGCTTGTCTCGATGCATGTTCGTCTTGTTGTCTGGCCACCGCCGCGACGAACTCCGAGGCGCAACTGAGAGGCATTGCGCCCGCGCGTGCAATTGGGATCTCGAAGGAGTTATGTATTTCAGACGATGGAGGAGGATGTGAATACCTGCAGGGTGAGGTCGATGATGCGCAGGCAGCAAGGAGGTCTACAGCGTCAACTCAACTCTCCCAGGGCACAGCCACAACCGAACAGCGAGCAGAGCCCCCGCTACGCACCGAGGGCCACGGGCAGCGCGCCAGAGGGACCTGCCATTTTTTGAAAGAGTGGGGAGAGCTCAGGTGTTCAGACGCACACGCGGCCGATGTGGATGCGCACGCTAGGCGCATGCAGCAGAGGAGCAAGCTCATCTCAGACCAGTCATGGAGTATGTGTAATGACGAGAGACCAGTGCTTTCTAATTACGGCAGTCAGCGCTTGGACATGACAGTAATCTCGAGCAGACATTTGCCAGGCAAGAAGCGCGCGGGCGTCGCGGATGATATATTGCACTTTCGCATCCGCGCGGGCATGAGCGCAGAGGATGCAGCTCGAAGCCCTTGCTGGAGGGCGCGCGGCCGCCCCTTGTGCGTCGGCACAAGTCGCAGGGGCGACTGCCGACGAATGCAGCGCGATGATGGCGGAGATCGAGGCAGTGTTCCCAGCAACAGAAGGTTGGTTTGGTTTCCCGGGCTGCCGGGATGCAATGATTTGTGAGGGGCTGGCTAGGATGGGGCGCGCCGCTCGAAGTGTTGCGACTCGCGTTTCGATGGAAAATAACGGCGAAACTTTAGCCGCTTGTGGAGGAGGCATTGGGCTCGCCGTGAGTTTCGGCAGCTTCGGCAGGATCAGATATGCCATGTGATCTTAACTCGCAGCTTGTAGAATATTTCAGAGGCTTCTATCAGCGGCCAGGTGGCGCCGTGCTTGGGCGGCGCGCGCCCGCGAACATCTTCTTTGCGTGGGCCGTGGGGGCACGAGTCCAA